ACGCACGACTTGACCGTTCCTACCACCCCCCACCCCCGCTTACCTACGGCTTGTTAGAGGACGAATGTAAACAGTATCGGTTGACTTCCCTTTTCTGACCGTTTCCCAATTAGGTGATATTCCCCAATTTGACTCAGCTTTATTGAAATTTACAACGTAAACGTTCAGGTTTTTGCTGTGTTGTCAGTGTCGGTAGCTTTCTCTCTTGAGTACAATTTATTCGGTACGCAATCCACAATGCTCGGAAGAAAAATATTCGGGCCGCTGTTCACAACATCGGTAATCCAACTTTTCACCTAAAAACGATTATGATAAGACAAAAATAATGGGATGTCCGAAAGTTCCCGCCGTTTTGAACACCGTTTTTTTTTATCAACCGTTGTACGGAAGATCAAGGACCCGACCTTGAAAGGTTGTATATTTTCTGAAAGGGTAATTCCTCTTCTGTATCCCTGTTCAGATTTTGTTGACATTCCTCGGAGTCCGTTTGTATTTGACTCGTGTGAAAATTGAGGTCCATCGGCTGCATTTTCGGCACCTGCTGCTTTTCTTCTACGGCAAGAGCAAGAACGCTGTTTAAGCCACGAGAAAGATTGGTCATATTCGAATAGACAGTGCTCTAGGGAAATATTCAATGCGTAGTGGTTTGCGAATTTGGAACGGTGTGAATCAACGGTCAAAGATCGGCAACGCTCAGGGAGACTATCATCATATGGAAACGACCAAACCCGAATTTCAGTCGAAACGAGTAGACACATCACTACTCGTGAAATATGAAAGTGGCTTCAGGTTGGCATCTTTCATAGTCCACGACCGGTCGCGCGACCGGTCGTGGACTATGAAAGATGCCGTTTCGAAATCAACCATCCATGACCATCTGGTGGAACATGGTTTTGTTAAAAGTCTCGACGTTAGGGTACCGAACTGAGTGTAAGCACAATATGATGGACCGCACCGCGCCTCTGTGTGCGACTCGCTGCTCGGATTAAACGAAAATGAGCTGTTTGAAACGCATGAAAACGGAGGACGAGAAGTGGGCTGTTGAACAACATGGAGCGGAGTTGATCGTGGACTCTTCCTAGTGAGCCATAACAACATGCCAAAAGTCAAAATCTAGGTGCGTAAGATTATGCTATGTTGAATTCATTATGAGCTGTTGCGCTTTATCACATGATAACCTTAGGAAGGTGTTGAATTAACCTAGACAACTTGAGGCCAGCGATAGAGTAGAAACGCCCAGGACTGGTCAATCGTAAGGAAGCTGTCTTTCAGCAGTAGAACCCCAGACTACGCGTATTTTTGGATAATTGCCAAAAATTGCTGGAGCTTGGATGGGATGTCCTACCACACCCATATATAGTGCGGGCATAGCACTATCAGACTACCACTTGTTCAGATTTCTGCAGCCCACTTCGAGTGGAAAGTCGTTAAATCCGCTCTAGGACGGCAAAATTACCCAGAAGGGTTTTGGTTCTAAGTCTAAATCCCTCTATAAAAGTGGGATAATGAAACTTACGGAAAAATGGCAACCACTGCTGAACAGAATGGAGAGTACTTATTTGATGAATAGCATTATTCTTGCAGAAATTTCCACTCAAATGTGATTCGAAAATCGTCGGAAACTTTCTGGACAACCCAATATTACTGTAAAAATGGTTATTTTTTCTCTTAATCGGATAAATTTACTAATATTTGCTACGCCTCAAAATGTAGGGGGTGCTTGAGTTTCAAATTAGCTTAAAAGCTTGAGCTCTACCTTGGTGCAGTTGGCGTTTAAAAGGGTGAAGTTGTATTGGAGTTGGCCAGAATTGTCTATAACCCGGACAGTTCCTTCGAGTGTTCCGAGCTTTGAAACGTATTTTTCAATCTGAATGAAGTAAATACTGCATTGTGAAAATGTAAGGCAATGTCCAATTTCTCAGTGACCTTCGTTTCCATATCAGAGGTTCGGTTGTCGTAGGGCAGCGCGGTAATTAATCCAACAGACACGTGGTCATCCCCGGTTCCAATGTCTTTCGGTGGTGGCAATCCTGGCACACCTAGAAGAATTTTTGATTAGCTACACTCTGGGAATCGCTAAAGAGATACCTCAACGCCTTAAATGATAACTTACAAGAACTAACCGCGATAACTCCTATAACAAGGAAAGCAAAAAGTAGACGTTCCATGGTTGCATGGGATAGGAGTGGGCACATAGTTTTTATACTGTTGTAGCACCATTAGCATGAGAATCGGTAAGATGGCTTCTCGAAAAATTCGCTTTTCACGCTTTTCATCTGTTTTTCAGCTTTTTCAAAAAACTGAATGATAACGTTCAGTTTCCCTTGTCTGGCGGGCATTAATGATGATCAAATTCTATTCAAGCAGCACCTACATAATCATCGTGCTGTTTAAAAATAAAAGCATTATGTCTTTTGAAATTGAGTTTTCTATGAAATTCATTCAATTCATGGAGAGCGGTTTCTTGGACAGCACAAAATACCTTTTGCTTTGAAACATGCCAATATCACCTCCATTAAGAATGTGAGAACGTTTCGTAAGCTTTGCAACGACAACGCCACAAGTATGCAGAGAAACATACAAATGGATAATTGTGGTCCGTATATGGTAAGGATATTGTTTGGACCGGGTATAAACTGTTTACAGTGGATGAGGGCATCTAATGCTAATCTTTGACCTATGCTCTACCTTTCAAAATCCCGGTCATGTGATGGGTTACGAATTAATGTGGAAGGGCCGCCCTTTCAAAGCGAATTTATGTGGAAGGGCCGCCCTTTCAAAGAAGTCTCCTCCCACTGCGGACGTGTTTCCTTCATTTCATTTGTTCAATTTCTCATCTTCACCTTGTTTTTCCCTTCTAGGCTGTTATGAAACCAACTGAGAAAGTCTTGCCTATAGCATCGCCCGATTCCGGTGTATGTCCCTTCCCTTGTAGGTCGAGCTTTCCGAGCTCACATAAGCGCTGTGTACTTGCCCTATGCTAAATTCATGGCAGACTTTGCTTGAAATTTTGAGATGTTTTTTAAGGCAATATGGAGTTTGGAGACAACAAGGTAATATGGAGAAAGGCAGATTTCTCAGTTTTTCGTCTTCTACGCTTATGTAAACACTGCCATTGCAAAATTTTTTTCGCACCTAGTGGGTATAGTCAAGTCCTGCCACCAGTATCACCTACCATCCATGTTTAAAACCTGCCGCCTCTACCGCTACTATATTTGAGCGCCTGGGTCTATGGGGACAAGGGTTATGAATTACCGGGCGGGCACACACATACACACACGCACACCCATACACTCACAGAAACACGCATACACACATACGCATGCAAAACACACTCACATACNCAGAGTAATTCATAGACATACTAAGGGCATTATACATAGTAGGATAAGGGCTTTGATAGGGATCACAGCTCTATTTTCTACAGGAGATTCCATGGAATCTCGACCTCTTCCTCTGTTGTAAATTAGGTATCTTACATAATCTGCCCTCATGTGTTCACATGTTTCACATGCACCAGAAAAGCTCAACTAGAGAAGCACCAGGTGCTCTTCGAATAGCCAAATTAGGAAATATGGTTATACAATAAGAACAGTAAATCATTGTATCAGTGTAATCATAGTTCACAAACTCTCAATACAACTTTGTAACTAAGTCTCGCATGTTTTGTCACTAAACGAATTACTCATTTTTATTGAAGTTTACAACGTGAACCTTCATGTTTTTGGTGTATCGTCGCTGATGGTAGCTTTCTCTACGGTAGCTCTCTCTCTATTGAATGTTTAAGATGGGATTCGGTATGCATTCCACACTCTCCGGATGGAAATTTTTTGGATCGCTGTTCACAACATCGCTAATCCAGCTGATCACCTAGAAAAGAATTTTGATGAGACAAAAATACTACTGTAGAAATGGTTAATTTTCTATTACTTGGTTAAAACTACTAATATTTGCTACACATCAAAGCGCTGGAAATACTATACTTGAGCTCTGGCTTGGCTTGAGCTTTACCTTGTTGCAGTCAGCGTTAAAAAGGGTGAAATAGTACTGGACTTGGTCAAAGATGTTTCTAGCCCGAACAGTATCGAGTGATCCGAGCATTGAAGCGTAGTATTTCATCTGAATAAAGTAAATACTGCTTTATGATAGTGTAAGACAATGCCCAATTTCTCAGTTCCTTATACACGGTTCGGCTACTGTAGGGTGCATTGCTGAGTAATTTAACAACCACGCGGGAATTCCCAAATCCAATGTCTTTCGGTGGTGACACGTATGCCCGACGAACCTAAAAGAATTTCTGGTTAGCTCAACAGGAGCTACTTTTTCTTTTCTCGACTCTGAGAATTAGCCGAAGAGATACGTGAACGCCTTAAGTGATAACTAACAAGAACTAACCGCGATAACTCCTATAAAAAAGAAAGGAAGAAGTAGACGCTTCATGGTTGCATGTGCATGGGGAGGAACTGTCACACAGTTTTTATACTGTTGTAGCACCATTAGCATGAGAATTGATTGATGATGAGATAGATGGTTTTTCAAACTATTCGCTTTTCGTTTGGTTTGCAGCTTTTACATAAACTTGAATGATAACAATCTGCTTCCCTTCTCTGGCGGGCACTAATGAGCAAATTTGATTCAAACAGCACTTACATGTTCGTATTGTTCAAAAATGAAAGCAATAATGTGTTCTTTTGAAAGTGACTTTGCTAACGAATTCATTCAGTTTACGTGGAGTCTTTTCTTAAATGGCACCGAAAGCCTTCTGGTTTGAAACATGCCAACATCACCTCCATTAAGCATGTGAGAACGTTTCGTTAGCTTTGTAAAGACATCACCACAAACATGCAGAAAAACAGATGAATGGACAATTGTGATCCGTTTATAATAGTGAGGATATCGTTTGCGCTCGAGTATAAACTCTCAACAGTGATTGACCTACACCCTTCGAGATCCCGGTCAAGCACTGTGATTTGTTACGAATTTATGTGGAAGGGCCGCCCTTTCAAAGAAGTCTCCTCACACTGCGGATGTGTTTCCTTTACTTCATCCATTGATCAATTTCTCATCTTTACTCTGTTTCTTCCTGCTTCTAGGCTATCAAGAAAGTAACTGAGGAAGACTTGCCTTCGGCATCGCCCGATTGCTGTGTATTTCCCATCCCTAGCTCCTGAGCTCACTTTTGCCCTGTTGTTACTATCTTATGCTTAATTCATCTCAGACTTTGCTCGAAATTTCCAGATGCTCTTTAAGGTGATGGGGAGTTTCGTGACAGA